CGACATTGAAGTGGCGGCAGAGGCTTCGGGAACAGAGAATGCCGAGGCTTGCCGCCATTCCTTATTGGCGATGGCTCAGTCTACGCGCTCTCCTTCGTTGGGAGAATCGGTGTCAGATGACGACGCTCTTAGGGCGGCGGGCCTTGAGGTCGAGCCTCGTGATAGATCGGCTCGGAGTCGCTCTCCGAGACATCGTCCTTCCGGGCCAGTGGCTTTGCGGCAGGAGGTGGCGGCACTACGGCATTATTTGCAAGAGCGGTGCAATGGCATAGAGGCTCGTCTGGATGTGATTCAAGAGCAGCTGACTCGTGTTCTGAGTGCATTGGCTGGCTGAGTGAATGCTGATTGCGGTCATTTTGGCAGCTAAGCATCAGCAGGTCTTGGTCTGAAAGGGTCATGTACTTTGGAGGCCTTTGGTTTTTGTTTCTCTTTGAAGCTGCGGGCATGCCGGCTCGGTTATGGCACGTTCAGATTCAGTCGACTGAGGTGCTGTGATGAAAAGGTGTATTTGAGTAGCCCCTGTTGGCTTGCGTCGTAACAGTCTAGCCACACTTCATTGCTTTGCGGTAGGCATGAGTGCTCTGCAAGTGAGTGCGCGTCTGTGCGAGCCGTCCCGAACCCGTAGGCCCCCATCCCTTCTGCCTGGTTCACGCAGGCTCGGAGCACCGTGAGCATGGGCCCTGGAGCCCTGGAAATCTGTGTTGGAAGGTTTTTGGGATTGCCTGTGAGCATGATTCGCATAGCCGCGCAGTCGTTCAGCTTGCATCATGCCCCGATTGGCTGCCAACGTACCTAGTGTGGCTTACTTACTACTTTCTGGCTCTTTTTCCTTCATCCTTCCGCCGAGGTTGGCAGCAGTGGTCTGCCGTCCGCCAAATTCTGCGCGAGGCTGGAATACCGCTCGTCAGCCAGTTAGTTTAGTCTTCTTGTCGCGCAAGGGGCACATGCAGAGTCACGCGAGCGCTCTCAAGAACACCAAATCCCAAACCCGCTTGAGGTTGTCTGTGGGTTGGAAATCATTCGCTCGCATGGGTAAACCGGGCTTAGGCCGTTTCAGCTTACTGTCTCAAATTCGGGTTAGGGTTCTTCTAAGAATTCGACCGAGTTCAATTCCTTGCAACACTCTGCCAGAACAGTCCTAGTTGTGCTGAAAGGGACTGGCTCTGCAAACATGATGGCTCAGAGGTTTGTGTATTGCGCGGGGAATCACCTGAGAGTCGAAGCACTTTTGCGTGACAGAACTTCAGGCAAACAGCGTAGTAATGATTCCGGGGTTCGCGTGCCGCTTGGATGATGGCGAGACTGCAGGGGATGCGGCGCCTTCGTCGTCCAGGAGGGTGCGGCGAACATGCAAGACTAAGATGTTTGGGGAGCTCTCTGATGCAGATGCGGCGCACCTCCTGGAGTGCGAAAATGAGCCCTGCGGCAGGTGTCTCTGGCTGCGCAATCGGAGCGAGTGGGAACGCCGCACATGTATCCTGGAAAGTTCCGTGAGCTATCTGAAGACAGATCTGAATGATGCAGGCGACTGGGAGTTGTACTGCTGGGTATGTCGCCAGGCTGACCCACAGGTCAAACCTTGAGGTGTGGTGCACGTCAACAATCTGGTACGGCATAGCTCTTGCAAGAAACATCAGAACGCTCTGTATGAGATGGGATTGACTTCGGAAAACATCGACATAGCAGCCCCCCCGGCCTCCCAGTTTCTGCTGCTTGGTCAAACCAGGAAACCAGGACACGCTTTGACACATGGGGTGGAAGGCGTGGGGGGGCGCCGGAAGATCACCTCGATGCTAGGATGCATGGCGACTGCTATCGTGCGCCAGGAGCAAAATTTCCTGCGAACCGCAATCAGCATCTCGCTTCATGGAGATGTCCGGAAGCTTCGTTGCATGTTCCGGTACAGAGCCACGAACCATGACATGCAGACACGCTCCGGACTCTTGGTTTACACTCCCATGCGTTCCCACTCGGCAGCGGACACCCTCGCTGCCTTTACAGAGGGCCTGAATGACTTCTGCACCACATCCGAGGGCGTGGATGAGCCGCTATTGCTACACATACTGTCAAGCGTGGAGATTTTAGATGCCGATGGTGCATCCGATGCACAACTTGCTCTGGAATTGCTTCGCGACTCTGGTATGTTCCCGCATGTGAAATGCAAGCTGAGGGACCCGACCCACGCCGCCAGGCGAGTTATCTCCCGTCCTTGGGCAGTCATTGAGGAAATCAAGGAAGCCTTCTCGTTGGTCGTTTCGAACTCAGACAGTTTGACCAACGTCATACAGAACTCGGATGTCCTGGGTCAGGTCTTCGGTGAATTCGTTCAGAAAGCCGAGGGCTGCCCATTGCTGGGCACCAGGGTGCGAAACCTATCACGGCGAGGACACAGATTCGACTCCTACCAGAAACCGTTGACTAGATTTGTCATGTGCATCTCCGCATTTTTCGAGACAGCTGTCTGGATTACAGCAAACAGGAAGCGGAACCATCGTGAGCATGAAATTGCGGCTGACTTCCTGGAGTGGGTCAACCCCTCCCGCTTGGTGCTCCTGGGAATGTGCGCGGACGCAGCAGACGAAAGCCTGCTTCTGGTGCGACATTTTGATCGAGAGACTCACGATGTAGCCGAGCTGCAGTCAGCGACATCGCAGTACCTGAGCCGCCTACGCTACTTGTTTGTCACCGGCGCAGTTGTCCGAACTGCCGGCTTCACCGAGCTTGTACTGCAGTGGCTGCGGTCTCCGCACGGGTTCATGGTCCGCGAGCGTCCTAAGTGCATTGGTGGTGAGCATGCAGTGGACGATGCATTGATCGACTCGTGCCTGCGCCCATTGCAGGTGTTCGTGCGCCTTGCAGCAGAGACTGTGAAAGCCGAGTATCCGAGTTATGCTCTGCTCTCCGCGTTCCAAGTGTTCTCTCGCTCGAGAGATGGGGCGAGTCAGGCTGCAGACGAGGAGACTGGCGAGGAGGCGTGCTTGACGCGTCTTGCCCAGTCCTTGCACTTGGATGCTGAGCGACTTATCAGTCAGTTCCTGGACCACAAGGCCATTGCGCTGCACGAGGCTCATGCAAAGAAGCTGTCAAGCTTGGATGCGTGGGTTTCTGCAGTCCAGAGAACCAGTGCGACCCAGCGTGCAGTTCGGGTTCGCCACCCCTCAGAATGCTTGCGAAGTCTGCTCATCCGTTATTCCTGTTGGACAGGCACCACCACGAGCGGAGTAGAGCAGCTGTTCAGCAAAGCGAGCCAATTCTTGACGCCGTCACGGAATCACATGTCGCCTGCGAATGAGTTCGCCGAAGTCAAGGTCATGAGCGACTTTCAGCATACTGACAAAGATGCTATCTGCGATGCAGCCCGGCATGTCTGGGCTGAATGGTTCGGAGCTCCTCGATCCAGTGCTGCGGATCGCATCGACACTGGGGTTTCGCGTGTGCGAAAGCCTGGCACGGAGAGGCACTTCCTGCAAACTCGACGTGAAGCCGTGGCAGCAGACTCCGAGCAAGTCTCCGTTGAGCAAGTGGCACAAGAGGCGGAGGAGCTCGTGGCAGAGGACATCGTGGGGAAACAGGCTGCAGTGTCTGAGATTGAGTTTCAGCAGAGCAAACAGTTCAAAAACCGGCTCCTAGCTTTCATGGACAACGCACTCCTGGAGAGCGAGATCTCGGTGGATCTCCTTCAGATGGCGCAGGCGTACAAGGATCACAAGGACAAGCTGTCGAGAGACCGGGCGAGGAATGAGAAGCGGAAGTTTAGCTTGATGTCACCCGGGTTACCCGACCTCCAAGGTCAGCCGATGTGGTTAGAGGATGCTGACTGGCAGCGTTTCCCGAGTGTGGCCGACAAGCATCTTGTGGGAGACTGCATGCACGCTCGGGTCTTCGTGGTGAAAAACCCTGCACACCCTGGAGAGCAGAATGCTTGGCTTTTGGCTCTCATGGGCGGTCATTCGGTAGATTTGCAGTTTGTCAAAACTGGAGGGGCCAAAGGAGTGTGTTTTGCATACGACCCAGCTATCGCCGTGCAGCGCAAGCTGTACATTAGTGAAGACTTTCGCGCACAGAATCCGGAAGTCACTCTTTGGGTCACTTTCTCTGTCCAGTCCCTGCATTCGAAGTGGAGGCTCTTGCAGTCATGGGAGGACTTCCTCAGTCGTCGCCATCAGGGGATGAAGTGCATTGCGCTCACAACAGCAGAGTCGGTCGCACTTCTCGGAGAGAATGCACGGAACGTGTTCTCGCTGGAGACATTTTTCGCGTTCATCTCCCAAAGGGTGGTGACTGCGTCGCGAAACTTTTGTAAACAGTGAACTTACTCCAAGCACGCCGTGAGAGTCTGGGGGAAGGACAGAAATGTGGGCGATCTGGGTCAGGGCACTGTGACACAGCTACTTCTAGTTCCACTTCTTCCTGCTGCAGACCTGATGATTCTTGTGCAGGCGTACACAGCTGCAGGTGGGCGCGCCGCAGCCTGAGGAGAGTCTGCGTGTATAGAGCTCTGCTAGACGCGTGTAGTTCATGTATGCCGTCCTATGCCTCTTCCGGGGACTCGAGCGCCAATCGCATGACCAGTCGGGTCCTGTCCTTTCCCTCCCGCGCCCTTCTCGTGTGCATTGGGGGAACCCTATAGGACCGAAGCTGTCAGGGAAGCTTGCGTGGTTCATCCGCGAGATCACGAATTCCAGCCGCATCGAGGTCAGCCCCAAGCCCTCAAAGCCCCAGACTGGCCCAGAAGCTTGCAAATAGGGTTTTCAGCGACATTATTAAATTCCAGCTTTTTTTTGCATCGAGGTCTGTCGGCGGCCTCTGCCAGACGAGGGAGGCAGCGGTGTGCGAAGAGCCGTTGCCATCCCATTGTCGCACATATGTTCGGAAGTTACCTGCAGTGATCCTCTCGGAATTCGTTTGTGTCGCACATATGTTCGGAAGTTACCTGCTGCAGTGATCCTCTCGGAATTCGTTTGTGGAAGCCTCCCAGCGACCCGTCTGCGATTTCGGCCATGGGTGCCAAGAAGAAAGTCGCGCGAGCGAAGGCAGTCCGGGCAGTGTGCGATGTGCATGCATTGCCTTGCTTGTGCGTCATTTGCCTGGTTTTCCCATTGTCTATCAACAGGCAGCAGCTGCAGCGGAAGCCAAGAAGCTGGACTACGACATCCAGCCGGAACCCCTGAACCTAAACGATTCGCTGCTGGCTGCAGTCACCCAGGATCTCAGTGACATTATGGCACACCATTTGTTCTCGGACATCCTGAACCGAGAGCCACTGGAGATCCGTGCGGATGCGAGTGCCAGTGAAGCCGGCTACCAGGTGACCTGTCCGTCATGTGTCATGTCTTTCACGTTTGCATGCAAGTGTCTAGAGCGCTACAACTGCCTGCTGCTGACATTGATGCTTTATTGACTGTCCGGGTCACTCACCCAGTCTTGGTTTTCTCTCTCCCTCCCTCTAAAAAAATATATAATATTGCTGGCTTGTTGCCGGTTGGTTGCAGGGGAGCTGATGTTAAGTGGCTGGTTTGCCGACTGACGCCGAATCTCGATATTGTCCATTCCAATCCGTTACATGATATAATGTGTATACATATATATATATATATATGTGTGTGTGGTGTCAATTGTCCATTCGAATATGTGTGTGTGTGTGTGCGTGTCTGTTGAATAATAGTGATAATAATATGTACACATACGTATATACATACTTTCTCGAAGTTTCAAAAGAATGCGCACCGCAACTATGTTCAAAAAACAAAAACACCGCGTCGAGCCCTGTGATACAGGACAAACCAGCATGAGGGCCTACCCCGCAGTTCTGGGGGTTGGTGGGGGAGACTCATCTGGCCACTTGTTAACGGATTTTTTTAAATCCGTCCGTGTTTCGGCGCCGCCCGGCTCTCGCAGTCCCTGTGCTCCACAACGGGAGACAGGCCCGGCTGAAGCGGGTGTCTGGGGAGGGTTTGTCAGAGGCCTAAAAATCAAGGTTTTGCAAACCCCCATTCTCGGCTCGAGAATGGGGGGTTGTCAGGGCCGAGCATCATGCGCATTTCGTTGGATTTGCTTCAAGCAAATCGACCGGCGGAGGAGACGAGGGATGAGAGGGGTGGGAGGTTGTCTTGCAAATAGTTGGGACACAAAGAATGACATTCTCCACGGTGTTTGAGGTTGGCGGGGTACACCCTTACCCCGCAAATTGGCGGGGTAGAATTTACCCCACGCTTTCTGGGCTGGCGGGGTAAACTTTTACCCCGCGGTTGACGGGGTTGGTGCGTCCCGGTTGGCGGGGTAAAGGGTTGCTTGCCGAGATTGTCGGGGTGAACCGTTACCCCGCTGTTTTCGGAGTTGTTGGCGGGGGAGACCGTGACCCCGCAGTTCCCGAGGATTGGCGGGGTAAACCCTGGATCACGGGCTTGGCGGGGTAAACTTTTACCCCGCAGTTCCCAGCCGGTGGACCTGAAGGATCCCCAGGGTTGGCGGAGTAAACCCTAGATCGCAGGCTTAACGGGGTAAGCTTTTACCCCGCAGTTCCCCAGGGTTGGCGGGGTAAACCCTAGATCGCAGGCTTAACGGGGTAAGCTTTTACCCCGCAGTTCCCCAGGGTTGGCGGGGTAAACCCTAGATCGCAGGCTTAACGGGGTAAACTTTTACCCCGCAGTTCCCCAGGGTTGGCGGGGTAAACCCTAGATCGCAGGCTTAGCGGGGTAAACTTTTACCCCGCAGTTCCCCAGGGTTGGCGGAGTAAACCCTAGATCGCAGGCTTAACCGGGTAAACTTTTACCCCGCAGTTCCCCAGGGTTGGCGGGGTAAACCCTAGATCGCAGGCTTAGCGGGGTAAACTTTTACCCCGCAGTTCCCCAGGGTTGGCGGAGTAAACCCTAGATCGCAGGCTTAACCGGGTAAACTTTTACCCCGCAGTTCCCCAGGGTTGGCGGGGTAAACCCTAGATCGCAGGCTTAACGGGGTAAACTTTTACCCCGCGGTTCCCCAGGGTTGGCGAGGTAAACCCTAGATCGCAGGCTTAACGGGGTAAACTTTTACCCCGCAGTTCCCCAGGGTTCGCGGGGTAAACCCTAGATCGCAGGCTTAACCGGGTAAACTTTTACCCCGCAGTTCCCCAGGGTTGGCGGGGTAAACCCTAGATCGCAGGCTTAACGGGGTAAACTTTTACCCCGCAGTTCCCCAGGGCTGGCGAGGTAAACCCTAGATCGCAGGCTTAGCGGGGTAAACTTTTACCCCGCAGTTCCCGGGATTGGTGGAGGAAGTCCCCGCGGATTGGTGGGGTGAACCGCTACCCCGGAGTTGCTGGGCTGGGGTAGACTTCTACCCCAGCAGGTTCGCGGATGGCGGGGTAAACTTCTACCCCACGGTTCCCGGCATTGGTGGGGTAAACCGTTACCCCGCTCACCCCGAGAAACGGCCCGGGACATCCGAGCCGGACCGGGGAAATCCCCCGTCTCTCTCAACAGCGAGGGGCGCCCCTCGCTGTTGAGAGGGACGGGGGATTTCCCCGGTCCGGCTCGGATGTCCCGGGCTATAAACAAGCAGGGCAGATCTGCGAGTGAGCCGGTTGGTGACGGGGCGGCAAAGCGTATTCAGCTCGCTGTGTACGTGAACGTTGTTGTGCCCTGCATGCGTCCTCCAGCTGCGCGAGCTTTTTTTCCTGTCAGTCTATGTTTCTCTCTCTCTCTCTCTCTCTCTCTCTCTCTCTCTCTTTCTTTCTCTCTCTCTCTCTCTCTCTCTCTCTCTCTCTCTCTCTCTCTCTCTCTCTCTCTCTCTCGCTCCCTCCTCTTATGACAACATTATGATGACCGTTGAAAAAAAGGTGCTTCCTAGTGATAAAGAAGCACCTTAAAAGATGGGTGCTTCCTAGTGATAAGGAAGCACTTATTTTTCTGTCTCTATCTTTCTCTCTCTTTCTCTTTTTTTCGCGCGCTCTCTCTCTCTCTCTCTCTCTCTCTCTCTCTCTCTCTCTCTCTCTCTCCTGATTCTGCACGTTTGCGATCCTACATAACCCTATATACCCGGGTCCAACTGCTTTTTTGGAGGCCTCTCTCTCTCTCTCTGTCTATGTCTCTGTCGCAAGTTCATGCAAGTATAATCAAGGCGCAAGTGTGTGTCGGGTGTGAGGTGTGTGGCGGCTGCGTGCAGTGTGTCTGTGCTGTGTGGGATACTGGGATAAGTGCGTGCGGCATTGGCATAGAAGCACTTCTAGCTGGAAGATGAGTATCCCAGCAAATTTCTGTGTTTCCATGCAGTCGAGGCCAGATTCGATCCGGCCTTGTTCGATGCAGCAATGTCCACAGCAGGGCAGTACCAGTGTGCCGGGAACCTGTTCTGGATGAAGCTCGATCGCCTTACTGCGTCCAAAGGAGTTCCTGTCTCGGACCGTGCAGTGGAACAGCTGAAGACTGCTTACTTCTCCACTGCCAAGAGACTGGACAAGCATGTGACTGTCATACCTGTCGAGCCGGGCACGAAGGCTGTGGACTTGCAGAGGAAGTTTGGCAACCTGGATAGGTGCTCGGCCGAAGAAGTGGAGTTTGCGATTCTGCGCCGCATTGCACAGCTGGTGCGTGCCAATGCTTCTGACGCCGAGCTCTTGTGGCCTGGCAGCGATCTTTTCTGTCGCATGTGTGCCCAGGGTAAGACCGGATTGTGCAGCGATCAACACAATTGTAATACCCAGTAGTGCTGCGTGATGATCATCTTGAGAACGGAGGCCTTGGCGGACACTCTGCCTCACTGTGACCATGTGCTTCGAGGAGGTCTCCTGCGAGACCGCTGTCTACTGGAAGGCATTGAACAGCCGTCGGCTGACCATGGCCACGTACGATGCCGTCGCGAACACTCCCGTGCAAACGATCTACCAGATCATGAACTTCCGCGCAGGATATGAGGCGAAGCACGGGCAGCAGGACCACGAGACCATCGCCGATGTGTATAATTCGAACCTGCAGGACATGGAAAGCACCCTCGAAGTCTTTGTGACCAAGAGCACTGTGGCCAATGCTGCCAAGGTCTTCAAGGCGATCCTGAGTCACCACCAACTGCTTCAAGAAGTCTTGTTGGACGAAGCCCTTCGGGGCAAGTCCGGCTATCTGACGCTGGATATCTTGCAGGAGATCAGTTCGGGGCTCAGTGCATGCGCGAGTGACACAAGTGAGGGCATGCAGGTGCTAAGCTTGCTTCGTCTCTATATCTCGTGATGCAGTAAACTCCTTGTCCCCCGATCAGGTGCTAAGAGCAAGGATCCCGAGACGGCCCTGTGGTTGCTTCGGACCCTTCGGCACCTCCTGGAGCGTGGTGTCCACAGCTCGCAGGACTACACAGCGCGATTTCTGGTCGGTGCTAAAACCAGTGGCTCCCCGGCCACTAGGCTGAATCCAGACATTGAATCCAGACAACAAGCTTGCGTTGCTACACCAAAGGGTTTGGAAATCTCCTGCAACCCAGGCCAAGGGGCACTTGCATTTGTTTCTCTTGAAGCGCGAGATTCTGACCTACTTCCTGAACTCCTGGTTGGACCAGCAGGCCCAGATGTCTGACGACGCGAAGCGAACCCTTCGTGGCCTGGGCAACTACGACGCCTTCGAGAAGAACGTCCTCTCCGAGGACCTCAGCTGGATGGGCGCCGTGGCGGAGTCCACTCGCAAGGCCATCTCGTTCGTGGAGGCCGCTGATTGGGGTTCCGAGGGTCTGTGGTCGTGTGGGTGTGTGTAATTGTGTTTCTGCTGGTATGTGTGCTGGCTCGTGCATGTGTGCCGCCGTCGCTGCGGTCCAAGGAAAAAGGCCAGGTAGGGACTGCGATGAAGCGCCCAGCTGCTCGAGCGAGGAAGCCAGCGGCACGTTCAAGCGCACGCTCCAACAGGGAGGAGGAGGAGGAGGAGGAGGAGGAGGATTCGGACGCCGAGCGTCCGAAAAAAGACAGCAAGCCCAGTGCTCCATCGAGCGCACGCTCCGGTAGGAAAGAGGAGATAGAGGAGGCCGGCCAGCGCTTGAAAAAAGACAGCAGGCCCAATGCCAAGTATCGCAAGAAAGATCACGACACCTTTGCCGGCAGAATGCCTATCCTAGATGCTCTCGAAAGGTTCGCGCCAACGGCGATGGCCTCCGGTCCTGGAATTCTGCAGCTTTACGAGCAGGACCTCAGGCCGGATGAGGTGGCCCTAGCTCGGACAAGATTGGCGTCGGCTGGAGTGCGCATGGAGCCGCGACTAGGTCTGGACAGTTGCACAACATCTCCTGTCCGTGCAGAGGGGGCCGGTCAAACCGAGGCGGGCGAGAGCGAGGATCCAACAGACGATGATTTGACGGAGGAGCAGCCCTGCGAAGAGCAGCATGCGGAGAGTGAGTCGCATTCGTCAAACACGGACTCCTTCAGTACCAGCTCGGCAGAAGCCCAAATGCTCGTGGGAAGACGCCGCACAAAACGCACAGTCCGGCGTCACGTAGTCTGGGTGCTGCCTCATCCGTAGTTGTGCTGCATCACACTCTTTGCTCGGTGCTGTTACAGTCTCACTGTTTAGTCCTGCCTGGGCGCGACCAAAGGAAAGTGAGGGCTCTGTTTTCGCATGCTTCGACTTGTCTTTCGCTGCCTTTAGAAGTGATTAGGGCTTGGACTGACGTCGCCATGCAGGTGGTCGTTTTTGGCACAAAGACCGACGCGTCGCTCATGAACATGCTCAAGGCCAGCAGTCTCACTGCAGCGGAAGCACTGCAGCAAGCGCCGCTCTCCGACATGACCGCCGAGATCAAGCAGCTCTTGGCTCAGGAAACGGCGTCTGAGAATCAGTCAAAGCCAGCGGAGCAGAAGGAGCAGCAGCCTCAGGCCAGGGACAAGCTAGCCACGGTGCGGGATTTGGTAACGGGAATGTCGGAGAAGGATGAAATCGACGAAAGCAAGCTGCCCGAATTGGAAGCGCACTTCGAGAGCATCGAGCGGCAGGTGAAGCACTTCATCAAGCTGGTTACGAACCCCGACTCGGACACGCCAGACAAACTTCAGGAGTTGCTCGACGGCACGTGTGCCACCATGGCTTTGCGGGGGAATTCGAAGGCAGTGCTCCTCTTCGACTCCAAATGTGCTGGCGAGGCATCGGCCACGCCACACAGCCGGTTGCCACCCTTCCAGCAGAAGCAGCTGCGCATGCTGGTGCAGGCGTGGCATGGGGCCAGATCCGATGCAAACCTGGAGGACGCCGCGCATCAAACATAATTCTGGTTACCGAAGGTCTGGAATGCCAGTCTCCGGGCGTTGAGAGGGTCTTGGTCGTATCTTTAGCCCCAATGCAGGATCCACTTGGCGTCGTCCTAGTGCTGGATGGCATGCGTCCAGGTCTCGACGGCAGCATCGGCACCTGCTTCGTGCAGTGCCCCGTCCCAAGAAGTTTGTCCTTAGCATCGCCATTATTCCGCAGCACATGCGCGTCAGCAGAGACACCATAAAAGACTAAAGCCCTAGTGCCACGAAAACTGGACTGACCGATAAATGAGCAGCGCCGTCAGGACTAAGAAGCAGTACATCGTATGTGCAGTAAGCACTAGGGCAGCGATCTTTCAACGTCTAGATGAAGGGTCACATGCATTGAGGAAAACTGGCAACAAGCACATCCAGAAGGTCAAGGTTCCCTTCACGCTGACCTATGACCAGGACGCATTGGAGGCTCGGAAATGCGTTGTCCGTGGATTCGTGCCGCAGTCGGAGACGATGCACTGCTATAGCACGGAGATGCTGGAGCTGCCGACAAAAAAGCGGCTTCACTTCCAGGGCAACAACAAGGGAAGCTTGCTGGGGCCCATTTTCATGAACAGACATGAGGAATCTTGGAGGCTTTCGCCTGCGGACCGCACCAAGGTCCTTGGCTCTGCCTGCAAGGTTCTCGTTGGAGGTGCGGATCAGCAGAGGACGCCGAAACCAGTCTTTGATGATGGTAAGGATCCGATCTGTTGGCACTCCCCACCGGACAAGTTCTATGCCGAGGTGATTCACTCTTGGTGCGTAGGCGCGATTGTAAATGCAACCGAAACAGACGGCCTTTGTGCCCTGGAGGCCCTGAAACAGAAGGTCCCCTATCTCGGGATTTGCCATACGGAAGCTCATTGCGAAAAGCTCCGAGAGCGCATCATTCGTCTTGTCTGGGAGGAAAGTCTGAAAGAGAAGTCGCCCTTGTACTCGGCGCCCATCTGCAAGATTCTCTGCGTGCAGAAGGCCGTTGCTTCACCGAAGAGGAAGCGGCTGAACCTGGGTTCGCAGGCCTCGAGCAAGCGATCGAAGATCATGCTGAGCGGCCAGGGTCAGGGTGGTAAGGTGCTGGTGACGCCGAAAGGCAGGGGCAAAGGCAAGGGCAAGAAGCAGCAGGTGTCCGATGAACAGATCCTTTCCAAGCTCAAGGAGATGGAGGGCAAGAGTGTCGGGACGAAGACGGGCCCAGATGACGAATTGCTCAAGAGGCTCAAGGCGCAGGAAGGCAAGGCCGGCCCTTCTGAGCCGCGCAAGGGCACCAAGTTTTTCTTGCGTGACGACCCGGACGAAGAGGATCTGGGCCCCCCTGAGGAGATGGACTGATCAGGCAAGGCCTTGACGCGGCTTCGTGAGATTACGGCAGGCTCTCTGACTTGTGAGAGTGATATCTCATGTACGTCCGCATTTTCGCTGAGACGTTGCAGTGTTTTGCATGCTCTGCCTGTCTTACAGAGCTGAGCCGCAGTGCCGTCTGGCGCCATGTACGTGCTGCCATTGTGCGCTGAAGCTCAGGCTGTCTTTTGATTGCCAGACCGCACAGAAAGTTGCAGGCCGTCATCGCTTGTTATGTTGAGAGTCTTCAAATCGTGCATATACATAATCCCTGAAACCTTGAACCCTGAAACCTTGTATATTCCCAGCAGCCTCGCTTGCATCTCTTGTCGAGCGGCAAACCAACACCTGTGCACCGTGCTCTGCACCTTGTACAGATCTGAGGAACAGTGCCGCGTGGGACAACGCGCGTCCTGCCATTCTGCGCTGATGCTCAGTCTGTCTTCTGATTTCTAGGCCCCACAGAAAGTTGCAAGGCCATCAGCGACGGCTATGTTGATCGAGACTCTTCTGAAAATCGTGTATAAACCCCTTGAAGCCTGAAGCACAGTCCTCCCACCTTATACTCCCACCGGCCTCGCTTGCTTTTCTTGTGGAGCAGCAAACCGACCTCTCTGCCTGTGCACCGTGCATGAAAACAAATCGACCATGCTTTTGCCTTGATGCTAATGCAGTTTGCAACTTCTGTGGCGAGATGCAGGTTGTGCAAGCATGACGCTCGTTAGTGCAAGCACATTATCGTCTCAGCACCCATTGCAGGGAGTTGGGTCTGAAATTATGTCGACGAGGACCTGTGGATCATGTTCACGCCCAAGCATAATCCTACAGCCCCTGAGAGCATGGGTGACGAACATAGTCAGCTGAGCGCAGCGCCATTTGTCATGTTCGGTCCACTCGTCGCCTTGTAGAGCATGGGTGCTTCAGTTTCCACGGAGACGGGGGATCCTGTTCTCGCATCGCCTGCGTCTTTCCCAGATCTACTCATGCGCTGGGTCACGGACGGCAAGATCGTTGGCGAGGATAAGCCCAAGCGACCGTCGTCACACCTGGTCGTGGGATCTGCATGCTCAGGCATTTGTGCTGAAATGAAGGCTTTGGATTTGCTAGGATGGTCGCATTCGGCTGCTTTCATCTGCGAGAAGGACGAGAAGCTCAGACGCTTAAGTCAGTGCATGCATGCTGTTCCGACTGCTTTTCCTGATGTCATGTCCATGGAGTTCCTCCAAAATTCTGCAACATGCGATGTCTTAGTCAGCGGATTCCCGTGCCAACCTTACTCCCAAGCGGGGAGTGGCCGCGGGTTTGCAGACATGGTCAATGGTGGATTCATTTGGACATATCTTTGCAAATGGCTCTTCCTGCACCGACCCGCAGTCTTCCTATTAGAAAACGTACCAGGCCTCTTGCGGCAAGAGCCCGAAACATTCTGGCTGTTGCTAACCACCTTGTCGAACATGCCCGACAGCCACGGGCAGCCGCTCTATGACGTCTCCTGGAAGATCCTATGTTGCTCTGAGCACGGCTACCTGCCCCAAAACCGCCGTCGTATCTTCATCGCTGGAACGCTCAAGAGTGCATGTCGGAGCACCATGGTTTGGCCGGGTGCCGTGCCTTCGCTGCATTCAGGGTGGTTCCAGGAGTCGGAGGCCTGAGAGGTTCTTGGACAATGCATTCAGGTTCCTATGCAGCCCCTGCAAAACTACATCGATGCGGCGATGGGGACAGACGAGGACCTTTTTGCCCTGAGTGCTTCGGAGCGGCGTGTGTTAAGCATGACCATGAAGAAGTTGCTGCGCAAAGGTGCCGAGCCTCGCAGGGAGTACTACATGTGTGATATCAATAGCTCGTACGGGAATGCGATGCTGGGCAAATGCCCGACCCTCACCCGATGCCGCTGCGCATCCGGCGGCTTCTGGATTACGTGCCGGCAGCGGAAAACCAATCTTTCCGAGATCGCGTCACTGCAAGGTATGTATCTGAGCGACTTCCCAGACTCTTTTGTCACCGGGCGGCAGTTGCGGCAAGCTCTGGGCAATAGCATCCCAGTGCCGTTGCTGGCGCGGGTTCTGCGGTCTCTGCTGTCATGCTTGTGAAGGGAAAGGACAAATCGTGCAGGCTAGGAGTGTGAAAAAGAGAGTAAGCAATGCAGCGTATAGGCAGTCTGCAATCTGCGCCCAAGACAACTGCGCACATCTACATTGACGGACAGGGTATGCGTGCGTGTTCCCTTGAGACTGCCTTGCGGCAGGTGCCGTCGCAGCAGCCAGGCCTCCGCAGCAAGCGAGAAAGAGCAGGCGGGTTCGGATTATGACGGTAGGGGGTTGCAAGGATTGACGGTTTTTTGCAAAACCTTGATTTTTAGGCCTCGGACAAACCCCCATTCTCGAGCCGAGCTCGCTCGGCATCGCCGCCCTTTTTGGACATGGTAAGCTGGCTTCGGCATTGGCATACATTGACCTATCCGCAGTCTCGTCTCCAGAATGCTGACCCTCACCTCCGGCATACTGGTGCTTTTCTATCCAGTTTCTTCATGTGCTCGCGCGTCGCCTCCGGAGGCAAATCCACGTATCCGTGATAGACTCTGGCGGATTTGATTTGCGAGAAAGCCATCCCGATGTGAGTCGGCAGGCAGCTGGCTGCATAGGATGTTATAGCATGTCTCCGGCCACTGTGTGACCTGATCGTCAATCCAGTCTGCAGATCGGGGTACTTGTCTCGCATCTTTCGCACAAACCCTGCCCTAGCCTCCTGAATCTTGTGCGCCAGCACGAAGCGGTTCATGTGTGGTTGCTTGGCTCCCGCTCTTGAAGGGAACAACCACCCATCCTTGGGGAAGTAGTAGGGTCCGTTCTTGCCAGGAACACCGCACTTCATGAACTTCTTCCATGTGGACATGACGCTGGGGACGACTGGCTTCCAGGCACCGGCATGCCCTTTGAAAGGGCCGACCCATACCCGGGCCCGTTTGACTTCGATGTCTGTGACCCGAAGCATAAGCGCCTGCGTGATCCTGATGCACAAGCACTGAGTGAGCCACAATGCCAAATGATACTTGCCTCCGCATGTCTCTGCAACGTGTCGAAGCCATCACGGCCAGCGCTGTCCATATAGCGGGTTAGCTTTGCCGATCTTCTTGCGGGCTTTGGCGACATTGCGTCGCGGCATGACACTTGCAGGGGAAGCTCTGTGGTCCGCATTGGCTGCAACATTAGCTCAATCGCTCAAAAGCAAGCCGAAATTCATCAGGACACCCCGAAGACGCCATTGGAGACAGCCAGAAACCGTACATAACAAGCTGAAGACACCCTTGGGCCCCAAAACTCCCCCCCAAAAACAAAACCGAAAACGTCTGGCGCCAAAACCACCCCAAAACCGTCCCCACACTCCCAAAAAAAACCTTCAAAACCCCACCGAACCGAACAACCACCAAAAAAAACACCGAAAACCAGCTGAAGACACCCTTGGGCGCCAAAAGGTGACTTCCGGAGCGGCCTCTTCTCTGGCCTCCGACATCTTCTGCTGCCGCCACCTCAGAAACACAGCGACGTGCTCTATCGGTGCTCTTTCCGAAGTGCAGTGAGTGTATACATGCTGCACGCAGACGCCTTATGAGCTCGAGCCTTGGGAGGGCTCGACTTAGAGCCTTGTCAGGGATGCAAGGATGACAAGCAGCACAGGCCGAACAGCAGACAGCAGACAATACAGCGCAAAGCAGGCAGCACACGACCCAGACCCAGAGCCATGCCGTGGATCTGGAGTGACGCCCAAGACAAGTGGGTTTGGGCGCGGAACCCGGCCCAGGCCGCGCGTGAGGAGAACAACCGCAACAACCTCCACAACGAGCTGCGGCGGCTGAGACAGAACGAGGTAAGCTCCGCAGAACGTCAGGGCGAACTGCGTTCGGAGCTGCAGCAAGTGTGGCGTCTAGCTCAGGCCGGATGGAATGAGAGGGTTATGTCATTTTGCTAGCTAGACTCAATTGCCTTGCAGGCCCGCCAGGAGGAGCTGCAGAAGGCGGAGACAGAGGCTCGGACCGTAGAATCATACAAGATCAAGAAAGCTGTGGCTTCGGTTGCTAAGGCTTCTGCTGCATCCAAGAACCTCGAGGCTCTGGATTTGTGGGACGGTCGGGCGTTCAGAACACCCTCGCTATTTGTTGCGCGTTGCTGCAGGCCCGCCTGAAGGAGACGCAGATGGAGTTCTTGTCAGAGAGAGCGGTGGCCCAGGCCGGAGCCGCTTTGACAAGCAAGACATACATGACATACATCGAAGACACGCAAGGACCGACGGAAGGACGAGAAGGAGAGAGAGAAGCAGATGAAAGATGCCGAGGCGCCACCAACATATTCCCAGAGCCGTGACGTTTTGGTTTGTGATTTTGCAGGAGAAAGCAAGGAGAGAGCTCGCTGAGGCAGAGCAACGACTGAAGCATGCCGAGGCGCTACACCGGCGTATTCGCGGAGTCGTGCAATTTTAGTTTTGTGTTCCGACAAGGAGACGGCCAAGAGAGACTTGGCACAGGAAGCTTTGAAGAAGCAGGCCTGACTGACCCTAAAGAACCCGCCGCGCGGAAATCGCTTTTGCCCAGGAGGCCCGGAACCACATCAGCGAGCTGAGGGAGACGCTGGCGGATGAGAAGGCTCTGCGGTGGGCTTCGAGCTTGTTTCGAGGCCTCCCCCAGAATACTCATGCGCCGTCAGGTAAAGCGTGCCTTTGCCGTGGAAGCACACACAGAGGCGAAGGAGGCTAAGCGGGCCTGCCAAGATTCCTTGCTCATCGAGCTTGCCGCAGCCCAGGCTTGAGTGCGCAGTTTGCATTTTATTTGCGTCTTATGCCCTTGTCCAAAAAAACATGCAGGCAGAGCACTACGCTGCTGAGGACCACCTGGTTGTCGCATCGCTGTCAGAACCCTAGAAAAAACACCACAGGAGTCGGCAAAGGGCGCATCTGAGAAGCTAGGCATCATGGAGGACCCGATTCTGGCATCTCAAAATATTAAATCTAGCTCTGCATGCTACACCTCAGGAGTCCATGGCCTGTGCCTGTGAAGAGATGTCCGAGATGGAGAGTCAACTTGAGTGGTCCACGATGGCAGAGGACCGCAGCGCATGAGACTTCTTCTGCTCTAACATTTGTGTTCGCTTCTCGCTCAGGACAGGGTTGTGCGACTGGAGCTAGAGCTTGCTACCGCCAGCGACTAATTCAGTTCGCCTACTCGCTTTCTTTTGGACGCCTGTAGACATTGCAAGGCATGGGCTGAGATCCGGGCCGAGCAGTCCGAAGCCGCCGCTGCGAGGGTGGGCGCCTCATGCTTTGCTCACAGGCCTACACATGCAAGCTCTGCTCAATGCTTCAGGAAAGCTCCAGTGACTCGAGTTCGACGAGTCCAGCCGAGGAAGCACGACCCTGTGAATGCTCGAAACACATGCTCTTGCAGTCACTATAGCGACTCCGCGCGTTTCATGCAGGCCCGTCGTCGCAGAAAACGCTCGGCACGATCGCGAAGCTGACTGGCAGAGGTGCAACCCCTTACCGTGAGCCATGCACCAGCAGCTAGGGCGCCGAGCTGCAATGCTGTCAGGATGATGGCTGAAGCGACCTGCTGGGCTATGACGGCAAAAAATGGAAACAGTTCAACATGCGCGCTGCATGACTGTCTGCGTGGCATCGCAAAGAACCGGCACAATAGGACAAACATGACTTCTGCCTAAACTATCGCACCGAGGCTCAACAGTGGCTTCGGACCCGAGGCGCGAGCACTTCAATGGACTGGTCTCGTTATACTATACATGATTTCGCCGATGTGCTGCGATAGCACCTGCTACAGCAGTGCAAAACTGCAGGGAATAGTGCTGCGATAGCACCTGCTACAGTAGTCTAAAGCTGAAGGGACTCCTCATCTAGAAAGCTCCAAAAGCACGCATTCAAACACTTGCAAGGAAACCCCGTAGCAGGAGACCCAAGTTAGCAAGACGATCAGCTGGCAGTGGAGCCTAGTATCATTGATGGGGTCGGAAGAGCCACACGTCCCGCTCACTGATAGCTTCAGGTTTAAGGTTTAAGGCTTTAGGGTTTTAGGGTTTAGGAGGGTTTGCGGTTTAGATTTTTAGGGAATTGCGTGTTCTTGCAGGCCACTGCAGGCCTGTTCTTTGATTGAGAAGTGGCGCATTCCCACCGATGTGCCTGCATGAGCTGGTTCTGCTACTGACTCATGGTGTCAGGGTGCTATCGCAGCACCTGCCTGCTCTGCTGATCCGTGCTATCGCAGCACTAACTGCCCTTTCCACTGCTATCGCAGCAGTGTTTGATTCTCCCAGTGCTATCGCAGCACTGTTTGATTCTTTCCAGTGCTATCGCAGCACTGCACCATTGCTACGGTGCTATCGCAGCACCTACTTCCTCCGACTCTTGACGTGCTATCGCAGCACTTGGTGTGACGATCTTGATGATGTCGATGAACCATACCTGTATCCTGCAGGGCCCTGACAGGAACATGGGGTTCAGGAGGAGTTTACATTTTAGGCCTGAGGCTTTCCGAAGAAGTTTAGGTTTTAGATTGTGGTCTGGACCCAGGCTAGAGGATTTTGGGACTTGGGTTTAGGGGTCTAGCGGTTGGGAACCCCTAAATACCCAGGGGTTTTAGGGTTCGGTGTGCTGGTCTTCGGGGACGTGGGGCTTGAGACTTTATGCTTAGGCTTTCGGTGCTTACACGGTTTTATGTAAGTTTATCAATGCGGGCGTATAAGTTGAATTTCGCGTTATCAACCTTCGGGGGGTGGTGCTTGGAGTTTTCATCCAGTTTTGTGGTTTCGGCTTCTAGTAATTATTTGCTTTTTTTTCGAGTTTAGAGTTTAAGGCCGCGGGCGCAGAAATGTACCACGCAGGGGGTCTTGAGAGGTTCGGGGTCTTGGGTCGAGGTGCAAGACTTTTGGATTTTGGGACTTAAAGGACCCAAGGGTCAATACGGCTATCGTCGTGGCTCACCCCAATCCCAAAAGCACACCTGAATCCTCAAAAAAAACTCGAACACAACCTCAAGACTACGCTTTCCTGAACCCTGCAAACCAACCTGAGGAAAGCCAGACACCCTTCGCATGTGCTTGCAAAGCGCAAGCAGACATCTCTCGCGATTGAGGAATATATAATATATTGTTGTGTTTTGCTCAAACATACATGGCACACACACAAAGAAAAAACATACAGGACGATGTTTCTTGAACCCCAGATACTTTTTTCTTTTGCCAGTGGAGGCGATGAACCCAAACCCTTTTGCTTTGCTATGTTCTGTTTCGGAAAAGGATGTGGCAAATCTTTTTGTGTTGCGCGCAAACCAAAGGGTAGAACAATACCAGACTGCAGATAGGAAAGACCAAGACCGATGCAATGAACGGGGACTACAATACTTTTTTGGTCCCGTGTTTCTTTTTTTTCCCCGACGACTCGCAAGCCCAGAGTTGAGGCAAGCAAGTGGGTGAAACCGATCATGTCTCATCGTCCCACCACCCCGTGTCCACCACTCGGCCACTCACGCTTAAGCACCAGCCAGGCACGCCGCCGCGGCCGCACCGCGCGCTCGCATCGCAGCCGACGCCACGGCTGCCGACAATGAAGCAAGTCGCGAGCGGCGTCGGGCACTCGCGTGCGCCAACGTGCGGCGGGGAGAAGTCTCGCGTGCGCGTGTCGCCCTGACTTCAGCAGCTATCGCACCAGGGACAGAAGAAACATTCGCCGCATTGTCCGATCCTGAGCGGCGCCCGCCAGAGCCCCTGCACGACGTGCCTGCCGCCCTGCTCAACTTCCAACCGGATGCACCAGCCGTGCTCACCGACGCCGCCGTCGCTCAAGCTCTGCGGACCGCCAGGCGAGGCACTGCTGGGCTGTCGGGAGCCACGTGTGAGCACTACAAGCTGTTGCTCGACGACGCTGAGGCGCTCGAGCTGTTCACGTACGCGGCCAACCTCCTTGTCGCCGCGCACGTCCCTGCCGACGCGGCAAACGCCATCGGCCTGTCACGCCTTACTGCGCTTAGCAAGCCCGGCGGAGGCGTCCGCGGCATCGCCACTGGCGACACTTTCCGGCGCCTCGTGTCTCGCAGCCTTGCGCGGATGTTTGCTGACACCTTCGACGAGGCCACCCGACCGTACCAGTTTGCCTTACAAACCAGGGCCGGCACCGACGCACTTACAGGAATGCTTCGCGCCGCTGTCGATCTCGACTCTGCGGCCAGCGTCGTGTCACTTGATGGCCGCAGCGCCTATGACACGATCTCGCGCACCGCGTTCCTCAGCAAGCTGCACGCCGTTGCCCCGGCACTCCTCCCGTTTGTGCGCCTCTGGTACGGACAGCAGTCCACGTACTTTTGGTGGGACGCCGATGGGCGGCGGCGAACCATCCATCAGGGAGAAGGGTGCGAACAGGGAGACGCCCTGGCACCTGCGCTGTACGCCCTGGGCCAACGACGCCCTCGTCGCCGCAGACGCGCAGCTGCGCCCCGGCGAGTGCCTCGCTGCCTTCCTCGACGACGTCTACGTCGTCACGACACCGGCCAGAGCGCGCGAGGCGCTTGACGTTGTCACTTCCTCCATCGAGACCCGGGCAGGCGTCGCCGCAAACCTCGGCAAAACCCGGGTGTACAACCGTGATGGAGGGCCGGCTCCGCCTGGCATAGCCGACCTCGGCACGAACGTTTGGCGTGGCGACGCACCGGAGGAGGAGCGTGGGTTTGTTGCCCTGGGCACCCCGCTCGGGCACCCACGGTTTGTCGCCGCCCACACCAGTGCTCGTCTGCTCGAGGAGGCGAGGCTGCTGCAGGAACTCCCCCTGCTGCCCGACCTCCAGTGTGCATGGCTCCTCCTAGCCATGTGCGCCTCGCCGCGTGCTGACCACCTTTTGCGCACACTCCCGCCCGACCTCTCCGCCGGCTATGCGCGTGGCCACGACGATGCCGTCTGGCGATGCCTGCTCGCGCTGCTGGGCGAACAAGACGACGCTGATCCCGAGGTTGCTGCGGCACGTCGGCTCGCCATGCTGCCGGCCCGTTTGGGCGGCCTGGGCCTTCAGTGCGCCGAGCGTACCGCCTCTGCAGCTTACTGGGCCGCCTGGCGAGAGGTGCCAGGGATGGCAGCACCACGGTTCCCGCGCCTGCTCTACCCACTTTCGCGAGACCGAGCTGCTGCCTACCCTGCTACCCCCTGCCCAGGCCATGCTGCGTTCGCAGTCCGGGCCGCACGCGGCTGCGTGGCTCAGTGCCATACCGAGCGAGGCTGGCTCCGCTCTGCCACCGGACCGTATGCTCATAGCACTGCGGCGGCGGCTGCGGTTGCCCTTGCCGGTCGCTCCACACAGATGTGGCACACACGGGCACGGTTGTGGCGCCGCTGTAGACGCTTACGGCGATCATCACGCCGCGTGCCCGCGTACCGGCTTGCTCGCCCGCCGAGCCAAGCCCCTCGAGCATGCTTGGGTGCGCATCGCGCGCGAAGCTGTTGGACCAGAGGGCCAGGTAGTGCCCCAGCAGTGGCTGGCGCGCACGTCCGCCCCTGCTGTTGACCCAGCCGATCGCCGCCGCCTCGACCTTGTCGTCTACGGGGCTACTCCACTTGGCGAGGCGTTGTGTTGCGACGTCACACTCGTGTCCCCTCTGACGCGTGAGGGACGGGCCCACCCTTCTGCTGCCACGCGCGACGGCGCTGCCATTGTCGTCGCAGAGCGGCGCAAACGTGTGGCCTACCCTGAGCTGCTGCGACCCGGGCCGCAGCGTCTTTGTGTCCTTGCCTGCGAAGCTGGGGGACGCTGGAGCGCTGAATCCCTACGCCTGGTCACCCAACTCGTGCGACTCCGAGCCCAGCGCGCTCCTGCCGCCCTGCGCCCTGCAGCCAGGCAGGGCTGGCTGCGCCGCTGGTGGGGCCTCTTGAGCGTGGCTTTGCAAGGCACACTTGCTGCCACGCTGCTCGGAGCGCCGTACATCGCTGGCGCCATGCCTGGCGCGCAGCACCCGCCACTCGAGGACGTACTGCACGATGCAGTGCCTCCCAGCCCCAGCCGCCTCGGCCCGTAGCGCGCAGGTTGCACGGGGACTTGGACTTGCGAGTTAGGCGGACGTAAAAAGGTGCGCAAAAAAAAAAAAATGGGCTTGGGGTGGGGGGAGTGTGGGGGGGTTACCTAAGGGCCGCCCTATTTAAAATAGGTGGCCAGCCTTGTT